CTGGCTTATTTCCCTTAACCTAATAACCTTCAGTTCACCCATATTGTGGCAGATAATAGGATCTCCCTCTTTTTAAAGACTGAATAGTATTTCATTGTGTGTGTATGTATGAATATATATATATATATATATATATATATATATATATATATATATATAATTTTTTAAATCTTTTCATTGATCAATAGGCACTTATTAATTCTACATCCTAGGCATTTTGAAAAATGTTGAAATGAACATGAGAGTCTGGGCATCTCTTTGACATCCTAATTTCATATCCTTTGAATATATACCCAGAAGTGGGATTGCTGGAACATATGACAGTTCTAATTTTAATTTTCAAATTATTCTCTATACTGCTTTTCATAGCAGCTTCACAATTTTACATTCCCACCAACAATGTACAAGGGTTCCTTTTCTCCACATCCTTGCCAACATTTGTTATTATTATTTTTCTTTTTGGCAATAGCCATCCTAACAGGCATGAGGTAATATCTCATTATGGTTCTAATTTGTATTTCTAAGATTATCAATGATATTTCTTATTCCCATTGTCCATTTGTATGTCTTCTTTGGAGAAATGGGTACTCAAGTCATTTGCCCATTATTTCATTAGTTCCCCCCACCATTGTATTAGTTAGCTTTTAATGGCTGTAATAAAAGTCTTGGCATAGAATAACTTTATAAGAAAGAAGGTTTATTTAGTTCATACTTTTTGGAGATTCAAAATCAGACAGCATGGTACAGATGGAAGATAGTGGAACATTTATGGAGGATTCTCATTCAAAAGCTGGGTGTGGCCAGGCTTGTTCCCATTATGATAATCCTTTCATGAGAACTAGGGACTTACAAGAGGTCTACCTTCCATGAACACACTTGTAAGAACTCAAGTATCTCCTGCTAGGCCCACCGCTTGAAATTTCTACCATTTCCAATACTGCCACGCTGAGATACATCCACATAACCCTTGAAAGATACAATTAAACCATATCCATACCATAGCTCATAATATTGAGTTGCTTGAGGTAATAGAACCTTTATCAGATATATAGTTTGTAAATATATTCTTCAAATCTATAGGTTGTTTATTCATTCTGTTGATTGTTTCCTTTGCTGTTCAAAGATTTTTAGATTGATGTAATCCTGTGTGTCTGCTTTTGCTTTTTTTACTTGTACTTTTAGGGCTATATTCAAACAATCTATAACAGACAAATGTTGTGGAGATTTTCTATTATGTTTTCTTCTAGAGGTTTTATAATTCTAGGTTTTATGTTTAATTCCTCAATCCATTTTGAGTTGATTTTCATTCATGGTGTGCGGTAAGAGCCTAACTTCATTTTTCGCATGTGAACATCCAGTTTTCCTAGGGCCATTCATTGAAGAAAATATCCTTTTATGTTCTATGTTCTGGGTGTCTTTGCCAAAAGTGAATTAATCATACATATATGTATTTATTTTGGGGATCTCTAAACTGATCCTTTGTTCTATATGTTGTTTTTATGCAAATGTCATGCTGTTTTGATTATAACTATTAATTATATTTTGAAAGGCAGTTTGATGTTCTCCGCTTTTTACGTCTTGCTCAAGATTCATTTAACTATTTGGAGCTTTTGTGGTTCCCTATATATTTTTTCCACATCTGTGAAAAATATTGTTAGAATTTTGATTGGGGGTGCATTGAATCTGCAGACCCCTTTGGGTAGTATACACCATTTTACCAATATAAATTCTTCTAATATAAGAACATGATATCCTTCCATTCATTTTTTTTCTCCTACTTCCTTAATCAGTGTTCTATAAATTAAAGTGTACAGTTATTTTACCACTTTAGTTAAATTTATTCCTCAGCATTTTACTATGCATTTGCAGCAATTATAAGTGGGATTATTTTCTTGATTTCTTTTTTGGATAGTTTGCTATGTATAGTCAATAATCTACACTAGTATATACTAGTAGTATATGCTGCTGATCTTTGCAAATTGATTTTTGTATCTTTCAACTTTACTAAATTTGTTCATTAGTTTTATTTTAATTTAGTTTTTTGGTGGAGCCTTTAGAGTTTTCTACATATAATATTATATTATCTGCAAACAGGTGACTTTACTTCTTAATTTCTGATTTGGAAGCCTTTTCTTCCTTTCTGTTGCTTAATCACTAGGATTCTAGTACTATGCTGAATAGAAGTGGTAAGAATGGGCATCCTCATCTCTTCCTAATCATAGAAAGAAAGCATTTGAACTACTACTATTGAGTATGATGTTAGCCATCATCACTCATCATGTATGGCCTTTATTATGTTGAGGTATTTTCCTTCCATTGCTAATTTGTTGCACATTTTTTACATGAAATGATATTCAATTTTGTCAATTGCTTCAATGTCAACCACAAGTAGCAGCTTAGGGCCTTCTCTATTTCTTTGTGAGGACTGACATCATCACTGGCATATACTTGGTCTTTCAGAATCTAAGGAATATGTCAGAAATGTTCAAAGCCCCCCATGGAAATCTCATTATCTAGCTTATGATTGTAAGATTTTCTTAATCTATTGTTTTCCTCAAGAGTTTCCCAATACTTCATGCATCTGTTATGCTAATTGATTGCCTGTATATATATTTTTAATTCTCAGAGGGAAAAGGGCTTCACGATGTGCAAATTCTGAATAAAGTACAATACAGACAGCTTTGTCAGTGGGGTCTACTAAGAATCTTCAGGAACATTACATATTGGCAAATTTGGGGGAATGAAGATTTGAAAGAGCTCTAGCCCTGTTCTGCTCTCTCTGGTGGCAGCCAGAGTGTTTTTACTGGGAATGAGAACTATTAAATTTTCAAGGCTACAGCAGAGCTGGATACTGAGGGATGAGAATAATGCAAGCTAAAACACCACAAAGCTAATTTTTCCTTCTAAGATTCAGTCATTTTCAGTCATGAATAAATTTCAGTCATGAATAAATGCTCCCTTGGTTGTTGCAAGCTTTTGGTTAAATTCCAGAGTCCTTAAAAATTTGATTCTGACAGTTTTTGTCAGGTTTCTTGTTGCCTTTCTGAGGAGATAATTATTAAGAATTTTTTTGCTACATTTTGTGATGCCACCAAGCCATATTTTCTATTATATATATAATTTCAATGTTCATTGTAAATATAGTTAGAAGAGACATGTATATTTCTGAGTAAAGAGGACATTTTTAAGTTGTCAATAAGGAAAAAAAATGGTATCTGATATGCATTTCAAAAATGCAGGTGTGATTGCCAGCCTCTAACATGTCCCTAGTAATTCTTGCTTCCTGGTTTTAGTCTCTCTTGTGAGTTTGTTCTCCCCATACTGAATCAAAGTTGATTTGTATAACCAAGAGAATGGTGTGGAGGTGATGGTTTTGTGACTTTGGAGACTAGTTCATAAAACACATGGCCACTTCCACCTTGGTCTAGGAAAAACCCGCTGCTGTGTGGTGAGGACTCTTAAGACTTCTGGATTGGTCTGCGTGGAGAGGTGAGTGTTCTACCTAGAGCAAGCACTAACTTGCTTGCTGTGTGAGTGACCACCTTGCAAATGAAGTGTCCAGCCCCAGTCAAGCCTTCTAATGACTGTAGGTTCATGAAACATCTGGCTGAACTTTATGATAAAACTTCATCCATACCTACCCAATCACTCTTTTCCTGCATTTTGAAACTGCGAGATAATAAGTGTTTATTGTTTTAAGCCACTAAGTTTTGCCATAATTTGTATCTCAGCAGTTGATTACTAATACAGTAAGCAGTTGAAACACATTTATCTACAAGGAGGTACAAATCCTCAAGAAGAAATTGAATGTTTTTTTAAAATTACTCAAGAAAGCACCGTTCTCATATAGTGGTAGGGGCTTACTGTATTTTCAAGGTTATATACAGAGCAAACAGGAAGATTAAAATTGGAACTATTTTCTATTCATTTTCTAAACAATAAAAAGCTCTATAATTAAATTTATTTCATAAAAATGATGAAACAATTAAAAATAATAATTTTTTAATGAATACAGATACAAAAATCCTAAATAATCCTGCCAAAACGTGGCATCTAGTAGGGAGTTCCAGAAATGCACTATGCAGCTACACAGCTGCAATAATTTAGACCTGAAGTACTGGGATCAGAGTAGAAATGAATTTTTAGAAAATAATTTCAAGATATCAGAAACAGGCCACATCAATGTTAACACTAGTTATTAAATGGTCCATTCTTTCCATATGCTATTGAATTGTCTTTATCTATATTATATACATACATGTTGTATTAATAATGCAAATATGCTACATAAAATATTTTAAATTAATTATATAGTATAATACATGTCACTTACATTGAAGCATATTGATGGGCAGAGTATAGATATCTTTAATGTAAAAATGAATCTTAGCAAAAATCAGAGAATATTAAGTATCCTAGTTACAAAATAATTGAAAAGGGATGATAATCAGTTTAGAAAAGAAATTCAAGTAGAAAATTAGAATAAGAAATGTCAATAATAAAATATAATTTTATAAAATTTAAATTAAAAAAAGAAAATAAATGTCAATATATATTTTTAAAAATGCATTTTGCTGGCAATTATATGAGAAGTTAGTGCTTATCTTCTAACAAACTGTCAAAATTTTTCCAAAGAAGCAGTAACCAGTATTGGGTTAGCTTGAAGGCAAAACATAGATATAATTAACAAATTTTCTGGAGATTATTTAGCTATAATATGTCACAATTTTTAATACTGACCCATAACTTTTACTTAATGCTTGATATATCGAATACTTTTTATTCTTGGAATTGCTTATTTGTGTTTTCTTTAAGTATGATTTTTTTAACAAAAGAAATACATTAAAAAACTCTTGTAAATTTTGCTTGTTCTTTCTCCTAGGAGGAAGTGAGTAGTTTGTTGCATAGAAGTGCAAAATTTATGTTGTTTTCCTTAGGAAAAACCCACATATTAACTTTGGTGTTAGTTTGTCCCATCACATCTGGAAGGTGCTACATACCTGCAAATAGCGGACCACTCGGCAGACCAGGTCAGGTGCAAGGAAGTCTCCAGTGAATCGCCAAATAATATCCGTCAAGATGTTGATCAGTCCCGTGAAAGAGTCTAACCAAACCAAAACAAAACAAAACAAAACAAAACAGTGCTTAATTGCAGTCTTTCTCATATTCATGGCTATACTGCTTTAGAAATGAATTCCTGGGGAGATCTTCTTTTTCTCTTGGTTTATCAGATGGCAACTGACAAAAATTACGGCCAACAGGAGGCCCTTGACTTTTCTTATTTGAGTTTGTTACAACTCAGATGGAACCACCTAGGAAGGATTTCAGCAATGACTGAAGAGGAATCAAACTAATCATAGAGTTGATCTTTTAAATCACAGAGGAAGAGTTTTAGGGGATCTAGTCCTATTCCAAACAAACACTGTGTGAGAATCAGAAGAAGGCAAAACTGAGAAAAGCTAAATATTTACCATTTGGAACCATACCACCGCCCCCCTTACACTCTTTATTTTACAACTTAGTCTTCTTATCTCCCTACCTTCAGGTTCCTTTGCTTTATCCTCCTTTTGACATCTGTGCTTGGAAAAAATGAAGTGCATGATCTATCAATTTAATTAAATTGGTTGGTTACACTATAAGGGAACTGAGGCAGAGGTCAAGGACTTTGTTCTTCCGTGGGCAGCTTGCCTGTACTCAATCCTATAGTTACAGATTATACAAGTTGTACAGATGTCTACAAAAGAAATGGCAAACTATGATGGTGGTCTAAAAATTCCCTCTTTTCCTTCCATGACAGATACCACTAACTGGCTATGTGACCCAGAATCTTTTATAAACCAGTGCTTCAAAGGTTATCTGCTGATTGATTGATGGTTAGAATTGGAACACAAGACTGGAGAAGCAAGAATTCAATGACTTTTTCAGGCATAGAATGGAACAGAGGCAGGGCAAGTTTATTTCTAGGGTAGCTTTTAGAAGCCTGGAGAAAGTGATGGTCCTTCTTAAACAAAATGGAAATTCTGAAGTTGCTCCCACAGATAGTAAAGACTAAATGGTTAAAAGAAATGGGCATAGATATACTTTATGAAGCCAGAAGACCCCCAAAGAAATCTTTTTCATAAGAGGGTTTGAGAACCCGCACATATCATTCATTAAGACTACCAAAAGTGGTGAAAGGGACCCCAGCTTTACTAAACAGCTCAGTGGTGCTTCTATCACAGGCCAGCATAGGTAGTAGGAGAAGTGGTTACAGATACAGGTCTTGCAACACTGTGGCATGAACTGTATGATTCCCCTAGTCCTTCCCAGAGGGCCTTATGTGCATTTGTTTGCATGACTATAAACTGGGGAAAGAGGAAGACACAGACACTTTGAAGACTGTTAGGCACAGTATCTGGGTAGACACGAAACCCAGAGATCTGAGTGTTATTATGGCCTCATTGTTAGAGCAGAATCTTATGGGCCAGGTAATAAATAAAATCCTGGCTACAATAGGATGGTCCACGAGGTCTGCAGTCATTCTCCTTAGTTATTCCTCCAGTCCTTGAATGATTAATTGGAATAGATGTACTTGGCAGTTCAAGTAACCCCATTTTGGTTCCCCCATCAGGAAGGTCAAAGTGAAGTCCTCAATTCACCAGTTTGGTCCTTGCAAAAAACTAGGTGGATCCTGGAGAATAACTATAGACAGACCCGAACTCAAACAAATAACAGTCCTGATTGTGCCTGTAGTAATAGATGTGGTACCTTTACTAGAATAGTTGAGTATGGTCTCAGGTACACGGCACAAGGGAATTGATTTAGCAAGAGTGTTCTTTTCTAATCTGATCAGAAAAGAGGCTCAGAAAGAGTTTTCATTCATGTGGAACAGATAGTGCTATTCATTTACTATTTTGCCCAAGGCTATGTTAACTCTCCTAAGATCTGTCATAATAGGGTCTGAAGAAACCTGGACCATCTGAAAATTCTGCAGAATATCACTTTGATCCCTTTATATTGATGACATAACTGTGAAGGACAAGAAAGAGATGTCTAGTATATTAGAGGCTTTGATAAGAAATATACCCTCAGGAAGTTGGGAGATAAACTGAAAATTCAGGAACATGTCCTATCAGTAAAGTTTTGAGTGACTCAGTAGTGAGGGGCTGTGAGAATATCCACTCTCTTATTCCCACATAATAAATAAATTACTGTGTCTTACATTTCCTACCTTAAATAAGGAAGTAAGATTTCAATAAGGGTTCCTTAATTTTTGGAGACAACACATTGCACATCTAGGAATGTTACTTTGATTAATTTACTGGATGGCATGAAAGTCTGACAGCTTGGAGGGGTCTGAAGCAGGAAAGGGCTTCATAGCTTGTGTGCACAGCGGTATAATAACTGTCCTACTTGAGATAGATAATATGGCAGAATCTACAGTGTTGGAGATGTCAGTGGGGAAAGGTGTAGTTTGGAGTTGATGGACACCTGAGTGGGAGAATCAAAATGCATGTCCTAGATCTCTGGACAAGGCCAAGTCGACTGTAGACTAAAATGAATGTCTTTTTAAAAATTGTTCCTGAAATATTTCTGAGCTTTGATAGAGATAGAATTATTGATATCAGGGCACCAACAATATTTGGAGCTGATCATATGAGCTAGATTTTGTTAGACATACTAATTTGTCAGGTCAGAGCCAATAGCCATCCATCAGAATATGGGTATTTTAGTCAGCTTTTTCGTCACTGTGACCAAAAGACCTGACAAGAATAATTTTAGAGGTGGAAAGTTTGTTTGGAGCTCATGGTTTTCACAGATGGCTAACTCTTGCTCAGGAACCAAGATAAGGTGGTGGGATGTGGTGGAAGAAAGCTGCTCAGGACATGGCATCAAGAACAGAGAGTGATTTTTACCCTACAAGAACAAAACATAAGCCCCAAAGGTACATTCCCATAACCTCCCTCCTCCACCCACACTATACCTGCCTATGATTACCACCCAGTTAATCCCTCAGATGGATTAATGCACACATTAGGTTAAGATCATTATGACCCAATAATTTTACCTTTGAACATTCTTGTATTACTTCATACATGATGACCTTTTGGAGAACACCTCATATCTAAACCATAAAAATGGGAATAGTACATCATATATGAAGTCTACACTAAACCAGATTGCCATGAGTAGGCAATGAACAAGTAGCTCAGATGCCCATATCATCCACCAGGGTTGCACAGTGGCACTGCTTCACTCATATTTATGGTGTTTAAGCTGAAGACAAAGGTTCGTCACTATTCTGTTGCAAAAAAAAAAAAAAAAAAAAAAAATAGAGGTACTGCATTACAGCTGCATTCAGGGTAGCCTTGAGGGACAACAAAGAAGGGAGAGCTTCCCAATGGCTGAAGCTGCAAGCAGTGCATGGTAAAAAATGACTTGACCAGTTGATATTATCCAGGCTTTTTCAATGGTCACTCCAATGTTGCCACAATGTGCACCTGAATAGAGTGGCCATGGTGCAGAGAGGAATACTATTCATTTGTCAGTATGGTGGTCCACCTTTTCTCATGACTAATCTGGCTACTGATATCTTTGAATCTGACTTGCCAACAATAGAGGTCCACATCAAGCCCCCAATAAGGGACAGCTTCATCAGGAGACCAACTGGTTTCTTTGTACCAAGTTGACATTCGGCTACTTCTGTTCTGCAAAGGCCTTTCATCCATCCTTCTACTGATACACTTATTCAAGATATGAACTTGGCTTTTTTGTCTTCTGGTCTATAATCAACACTATTTGCTACTGTCTGGGGACTTTTCTGATTTCTTAACTGGAATGGAAATTCACAAACAACATAATATCTGATCAGAGGACCCACTTCATAGTGAAGGAAGTATAGGATTAGGCTCATGACCAAAAAACCCATGTACTGTATCATCTAGAATAATCTGTCCTCTGATAGCTCTGGAATGGACTACTGAATGAACATATGAGGTGCCAGCTTAAAGATAATGCTCTGGAAGGTTAGGGTATACACAGGTCTGAGAACCAGAGGATAGAGGAAGGAATGGACTCAACATTAACATCACTCCCAATGACCCATGGGGGCATCATGCTTTCTTATGTATATCTCTGTGCTCTGTAGGTTGGAGTTCTTGGTCTTTAAAGTTGGTCTACTCCTGCAAGGAGAGATAGTGAGGGTCTCAGAACTAAAGGCAATACTGCCACCAGGGCACTTTTTTCTTTTCTTTTATTTGGTACTAGCGATTGAACTCAGGGGTATTTAACCACTGAGCCACATCTTCAGCCCTATTTTGTATTTTATTTAGAGACAGGGTCTCACTGAGTTGCTTAGCACCTCACTTTTGCTGAGGCTGGTTTGAACTTGTGATCCTCCTGCCTCAGCCTCTTGAGCTGCTAGGATTTCAGGCATGCAATCAGGGCACTTTAGATTCATTGTGTTCAGGAACTAGCAGGTAAAGGGAGGAGTCACTATTGTGACAAAAGTAATTGGCTGAACAATTAGCAAACAGAAGTCAATGGAGATGTTTATACAATGAAGGAAGGGAGAATTATGGGTAGAATACAGGATATGTACTTGTGACTGTCGAGTTATGATTGACTGCAGTAGGCCACCAGTGGAAGCCTGTGCAGATGATTTATACTCTAGGGTGCCCTGTCCTTGCTGCAGTGGCAGATGAATGGGGACTGAAATTAGGTCTTTTTATTGTCATAAAGACATGCACCCTGGATTCAGGTGCCTATCCTGTCCTCAACTAAACAGAATGGATTGTACCCTCTACTAAGTTGTTCAGCTCAAAATTCCAATCATGTCTCTATTGAGCAACACTGCTAAGCTCTGTGGGATAGGACTTGTGATTTCTGTGCAGTTGTACTCAGAGGATTGGGAAAAACCCTACTCAGAAATACAGAATGCATCTGACTGGATTGAAGCTTTCAGAAAATTGAACAGCTGAACAAAAGAAAGTGCATCTTTGGGTGTGAAGGTAAGATAACCATAATTCCATTTTCAACGGTTTATTTTTATTTCCATGTTTCTGCTAAAGAGAAATGACAAAAACTGAAAATTATACTGTCACTTGGTTAATTACTTTTGTGACT